AGCTTATTTTCCTTGTTCCTAAGACATTTATTTTCCTTTCTACTTTTGGTTCTTTTTACAGTTTTATTGCAAGGAATGCTGCTTGTACAATTTCTACAATTTTGTAATTTATTAAGATTTTCTTTCTTTTTAAATTAGCATAAATTAAATTTATTCTATTTTTAAATAGTATATATTTAATTAACTTATATTAGTGAAACACAAAGGTACTTAATCATGGCATTTCACACATGCATATATTGTATTTTGATTAATATTTTCTTTCTGGTAAAAATCAATTTTCAAGATTTTACAGATATTTGGAATGAATATAGGGTCATAAAATGTGTTCTTTTTAATCTCATATTAATCCTCATTACCATTCAATATCCTTTCATTTAAACCTTCCCATATGTATTTTTTTGCTGTCAATTTGCTTTCTCAAACATCTAGAAAGGTGTGTTAATCTTCACTTTTTGATTATTGTTATATCAATGAATGAAATCAATATTGATATTAATATATTCCATTTTATCCTATTTAGCATGTCTGAAATATTGTTCACACATTGTTCATTGAATTTAGAATACACATAGAAAAGTGCATACATCATTACATCTTTATGACTGCTCACAAATTGTCACCTGTGATGCAAACAATGACATCCACACATAGGACATACAGGTATTATAAGGGAGCCCCCATGGGGTCCTATTGGGTGTGGATAATGAAAGAACATGTTAATAGCACTTCCCATCCCTGAGGTATGCTACTGCTGCATGTCTGGACTATAATCCCACCATGGTGAATGGTTTATGAGGAGTCCTTCTATTGGATTCTGTGAATGAAAATTCCCTTTCCTCAGAGTATGTGGGTCCATTTCCCACTGAATACAAATTAGAGAAAATGCATCTCTAAGTGTGGTCAGCAGACTTATTGCTGCCAGGAGGAGAGAACTTGAGATGGAACCAATTCCTAGAAATCAGAGGAGAGAAGTAGAAAAATAAAACCTTGATCAGGCATGTTGTCTGAATTTTGGACCAAGCCAAACCTGCAGGTTCTTCCAGCCTGTGTTCTGAGACAGAATTTATTTGATCTCTTTTACTGCTCTAGTCTCTTTAGACAGAGCCCTGAGGACTTGATTCTCATATATGCTCTGTGAGATTAATAACAATGTTTTTCTTTGCAGTGAAAATGATAGAAGCAGAGAAGTTCAGTGATGTGTTCAAAGTGATACACGTTGGTCCACATATTTTGACTTACAGTCAAGAAGCCCTATGAATGAAATCAACAGTAATTTTTTTTAAAGACTATTGTTTTTGTGGAAAAGATAAAAATCCTGGAAGGGGGCACCCAGGCTTTCTCAACAGATACTTGGATCTATTTGTCTTGTTTCCCAGCTTTGCACATCTATGCATTTTGTTAATTAAATCCTCTGATATAGGTCTCACACCATAGCTCATTACTTCATCCCTTCTGTCTTCTTCCTTGTTTGCAACATTGTTTCAGTATTTTTTTCACCTCTCTCCTTTAGAGAGATGTCATCCTGAGGTTTTCTCTCCTGTAAGAGGTGTTCATTCCCCCAGGGACATTCAAAGGAGTGGTGCTCCAAGCTTTATCTCCTGAGCTTTCTCACCTAAGCTTTTTCTCCTGAGCTTTCTTACCAAGTTCAAGCTTCTTAAGTTTTTATACAAAATTATGATAATGGCTGTGTGCAGTGATTCCAGGCCCTTCAGGGAAGGATTCTCTAGGGCACCTGATTCTGTGTCATATAATGTTATAAAATCAGTGCACTGAATCCCTAAATCATTTTTATGAATGGATGACTTTTGCATTGGTGAAACTGCTGATAAGATAGCATGAAATTTATACAGAATGAGACCATAGGTAATCAAGTACAGCCTCTGCTGTGTGCAGGTTAGTGGGTTTTCTTATAGTTCTCCTCACTGATTGGTGGAGATGCTGTGGAAGAGCTACCTCAGTGCTCAGGGATCACCAGGCACAGCTCAGTCATTTGAATCAGTAGATTTTGGAGCTTGGTAATTTCTCATTTCCCTCAGAGAAAAGTGCAGGCATAATTTCAGTCACAAGTACTTTACTTGCACTAATCATAAAATTCTAGACATTTGCAACTAGAAAACTTGATCAACAAGTCCAACACTTGCCTTTTTCAATTGACAGGATAAAACATAAGGAGCACAGTGTCATGCTTCAATAGTACTTGTCAGCGAGTAATCTAAGACAACATAGGATCTTTTATGTTACAGAGACGAGAGGGCATTCAGGTCAATTTTCCTTACCACTCATGATAGTTCTATTTTGCTGTTGTTCTTTATTTTAAAGTAAATATTTTTGTTCCTAATTGATACAGAGTAATGGCACACATCATTATAGGCACAGTGTGACATTTTAATACATGTATAGAATGTGTAATGATTAAATCTGGCTAATTGACATTTCTACCCCCTCAGACATTCATCATTTGTTTGTGTTGGCAACACTCAAAATCTCTGCTACCTATTTTGAAATGTACAGAGTTGTGATCCACCAATCCTATTCTATGCTATGGAAGATAATTTTGTTGGGGTAGAGAATGGAACTCCACGGTGCAACGCTTGGCTAGTCTAACTCAGGTCCTGAGTTAGACCTTCAGAATAGTGGGAAAAAAAGATAGTTTTATTCCATTACAGCTTTTAATATGTCCTGCAAATGTTTCCTATTTCTTTTTTACTATACTCTATATTTTCTAAATTTCAAAACCTATCACTGTATTCATATTGTGCCCTTTTTTTGCCAGTACAAATGAGTTTAACTATTTTGTGCTGGAGAGTCTATTTTACTGAATTTAAGAGATTTTTTGTACTTCAAAATACATATAATTATTAGGGTTATCATAGACATTTGATTTTAGCACATGACTATGATCCAACTCAGGAATAAATCAACTTGCTGTCTACTGTTTGTGATGTCCTACAGATCTACACTCATGATGATACTAAATGTCTTCAACTCCTTGTGTCTCCTAAGTTCCTAATGTCTCCTGGTGAATATCTCTAGTTCTCAGAATATCACATACAAAGGCTAGTAGGCTCCATTCCAGTATATGGTATCATCAAGGACCTTCTGCCTTGAACCAGTCTCTTCCCACCTGATGGCCCTTCCACCAAGGCATCCTGTGATTGTGGTTGGTAACTCTCCCCGCCATTCACCTGCTCTATTTCACTCATTCACATTTCCAAATCCCAATGGTTTCCCCATCGTGTTGTTCACTAGCTTCATTTTTCTTTTAGAAAACTTATTTCTTAGACTGTCGACTTTCCTAATTTTTTATGTATATACTCTAGAAATATTTGTTTGATATCTCTTATGAGGCAGGACTTACAGGCATTGTGAATATAGCCTACAAATATAGCCCAGAAGTAAACAAAATCTCTGCCCTGTAGAGGATATGTTCTAGTGGGGAGTTAGGTTTTCATATATGGATGCATATTGTCAGTTGTTAACTATGAGAAAAATACGGGGAGATGTAAGAGGTAGAATTACTGTTCTGTAGTGGGAGGAAGTGCTATTTTATGTAGCATAGTGGTTAAGGGTCATGGGTTTTTTTAGATGGAGATAATAGAAATGCAAGTTTAATTAATTAATTGATTAATTAATTTTTGGCAGTACTGGCATTTGAATTCAGGGCTTTGCATCTGCTAGGCCAGTGTTCTAACTCTTGAGCCACACCTCCAGCCATTTTAACTCTGATTTTTATTTTTATTATCATATAATTGTTGTACTCAGGGTACATTTTGACATTTACAAACATGCTTGCAATGTATCTTAGTTAAATTCACCTCCTCCATTATTCTCCTGTATCCCTCATCCCCCTGATTCTTAGAATAGTTTCAACAGGTCTCATTTTTCCATTTTCATACGTGAGTACATATATCTACCATTTTCACCCTCCTACTCCTTTTGTTCATATCTTCCCCCTCCCACTCGTGCCACCCCAGATGGGACCTGTTTTACTTTCTGTCCTCCACTTTTGAAAAAAGTGTTTATGTGTTGTGCTTTGCTCCTGTTGAACATTAGACTGTAATGTGTTCCTGATCATATAGAAACTACAAAATAGTTGTTAGTTAATCAGAGCTTTTTGAGCAATTGATAATTTCATGAACCTCTTGATGAGTAGAAGAATGAGAGAGGAAAGAGAGAAACAGGGAGAGAGAGTAGAAACTTTTAAATTATAGCTCATAATGATCAAAAAGTGAGCTTTAAAAAAATGTTATTATGATCACAAGAATGGACCTTAGAGATTTAGCCTTAAAATTTCACACTGAAATTCCTTGTAATAGAATTGGCCAAGTCCAGACTGGACAGAAACTCATAAGTCTGAGCTCCCTTCATGTATTCACTAGGTGTCACCCAATATAGATGCATCTAAACTATGCCTCCTCCCTTGTGTTTTCCTACAGAATGTTGTCACCTTTAACTATCGTATGTAACTCTGTTCCTTTTTAATGTAATGAATATTTTAAATAAACATATATAAAATTTGTCATAGCCGAATCATTTGTATAGAAAATTGTGGGTTAGCTTTTTTAATCAATCTACTTTTTTATACTTTATTTTTTATGGTCTTAAATATACATTTACATAATATAGAGCAATATTGTAGCAATATTTTGGGATCAGAGTCATAGTTATAAGCACTTATAATTACATTGAAGCTATATTTAAATTTTAAACTACATAGTATAAAATTGACATAAAAATTTGATAGTGTTTGAAATTTCAGATCAGATTTCTAAGCCAGAATTCTCCATTCCTCCTTTTTATATTTGAAAAATTTATTAATCCTAGTATTTAGCCATTCTCCAAAATTGCCAACATAATTTTTTGTCAGGATGGGATCCTTTTCTTATGCTCTGCCAGAATATATGGGGTGAGTGCAAGCTGCAGCTCTCAGCTACTGGACTGTGACTTCATTCTTCACATACTATGTCCTTCAAAACAATATAGGCTCCACTACTGAGATGAGAAAGCAAAATGAAACCTCTGTAGCTGAATTCATCCTGTTGGGCTTTTCTAACTTTCCTGAAGTCCAAGAGCAGATGTTTGGTGCTTTCTTCCCCGAAATGCTGGTGGTCCTGTGCACGGAGAGAGCCACCATTTCTTTTGTGGCCTGCTTTGTACAAATGTATTTCATTTTTCTTTTTGGTGGGACTGAATGTTTTCTCTTGGGAGCAATGGCTTTTGACCGATTTGCTGCAATCTGCTATCCTCTGAACTATCTAGTGATTATGAACAGAAGGGTTTTTGTGAATTTATTGATGCTTTCGTGGTTCTCAGGGATCATTGTGGCTACTGTGCCAACCACGTGGTTACTTCATTTTCCCTTTTGTGGCCCCAATGAAATCAATCATCTCTTTTGTGAGGGCCCCCCAGTACTGGAGCTTGTATGTGTAAACATCTTCCTGTTTGAAATCTATGCCTTCACAGGTACTATTTTGATTGTCATGGTTCCCTTCTTGTTGATCCTTTTGTCTTACATTCGAATTCTCTCTGCCATACTGAAGATGCCATCAACTACTGGGAGGCAAAAGGCCTTTTCCACCTGTGCCTCTCATCTCACATCTGTCACCCTCTTCTATGGCACAGCCAGCTTGACTTATTTACAACCCCAATCCACATACTCACCAGACACCAAGAAACTTATATCCTTGGCTTATACATTACTTTCACCTCTGCTGAATCCACTTATCTACAGCTTGAGAAACAATGAGATGAAAAGGGCCATGATGAAATTATGGCAAAGAAAAGTGACTTTACACACAGTGTGACATGCTGAGAAGTCCTGTGATATTTCAACATCACCCCACTGAATTCTGTATGAATTGGCTAATTGGTAAAAACAAATTCTTGGTCTGAGAATGTTTAATATGTTGATTTCTCTAGGTTGGGAAACATATAGAGGATCCCTCTCTGTTAAAAACTGTAGTCATTTTTAATGGTATATGCCAGTTTTCATATCTCATGATGTAATAATGTATTCATCCGTTTCTCTAGGTCATTACTAGAGTATTGTCATTAAGACCATGCACTTTTTATGCTTGATGATTTTATTTCTGTGTGATTGCTTTCTCAAAGGAGAACTGACTGGATGAAGTGTTTTGTGCTTATATATTCTAATAATCACTACAAATTACTTGTAAAAATGTTTCTAACTACATCACACTGACCTGAAGTCCCACTGAGCCTCCATGACAGCTAGAGTTTCAAGACAGCAGGAACATTATAAGAATTTTATTTCTGAGTAGAAAAATTATTCCATTAAGATTTTAAAAATGTGGTTTTTTTTGGGGGGGGGTGGTATCAAACTACCATGAATTCACACAGCTAATAATCCCAAACTTCATTTCTCTTAGTATTTTTATAAATATTTATGTAATGTTGGTGTTCAGAGAACTGTATGGGAAGTTTCCTAAACTCTCACTTGGCAAAATTACTATCATTTTCACTTACAGACTAGTATTTTGGAGACTTTTGTTGCATTTCTGTTTGAGGGCAAAATGTCCTCAGACACTGTTTATGAATGATGAATGATTCATTTCCACTGTTTATTGCAGAACAATGTAGTTAACTAGTTGTGACTATTTGCTGAGTGTCTTAGATCATCTTACTAATTATGACCTTTTCAGAACAAATGGTTTCACAATTGTCATAGTTGAACAATTTCATGATTGTGTCCTATTTTCATGTTGCACTTACAGAATAATGAAGGACCTTTTTATAGATTCTGTGTCATGTGAGTTCTACTGCTCTTACTATATCTCCATGGCTGGGAATAAAGGGGTAAATCGTAGTATTTGAAGTTCAAGCACTGTGATTCCTTTTTTTTTTAAATTACTATTGGGGTTTGAACTCAGGGCTAATGTGCTCTGGCACTTATGTCATATCCTCAACCCTTCTTGCTTCAATTATTTTTCTGAGCTTTTGCCCTGTTAGTTTAGGTCCTACATCATTGCAGGAAGCTGCTAGCTGAGATATGCGACATTGAGGCAGTTTAGCAGGAAGCAATGTTTTATTGGTGAGCACAGACCCAGCAGACTCTTGTCCAAAGGCTGAGCCCTGAGATCAAAGGGGTCTCACCTTATTTACCCTTGTAAGCAGGTTACAGAGGCAATAAAATTAAAAACAAGATTTAACCCATATATGGTTACACGCAATTCTATAGGCTACTTCAGCCTAGTGCTAAGTGCCCTTCCACCCCCAGTGCTGTGTGACAACATAATGGAGCTCCAGCATTTTCTGCTTTCTGTTTAGAAGAGATAAAGGCTTTTTTTTCTTCCTTGCACTCAAACTTCATTTTAATGACTGCATTCAGCATTATGTGCAGATCAACACAATTTAGGAACAATTCCAGTACCCTCACATGTAACATCCTCATGTATAACATCCTCAGTGGCCTCGTGTATTTTAACACAGAATCATGGCAGTGGCCAGTGCATTTCCTCTGTGGTGTATAATTTCAGGTCATTATACCTGAAAACTCTTATCACTGAGCTACTGTGGTGTGCCAGGTGTTGGTTGCACATCTATCTAAGTTGAGATCCTCCTGGCCAACAGGTTATAAATATCCACTTTCTGGTCCTATTTTATATGTACTGAGAACCTTTTGTGCTAAGAAGGGTCTGTGTGTCTTGTAAGCAAACGCATGGGATGTCCTTAGGAGTATAAATGCTTGGGAACTAAAAAAACTGAAGCAGGACTAGAAGGAGGTGCACTGTGAGGACCAAGCAGGTCTGTCAGTGTCTTCTTTAGGCCTAATAGGTTGCTCTGGAGTGTCCATTAGGGACACTGTAATGGGTCAGAATCCTAGATCATTGTTCAGTCTTTGACTAGAGCCTTTCCAATAAGACAGTGACCTCAGATGAAAAGCTGAGGCTGATATGAATGTAGCTCACAGAAATGGATTAACCATGTCTTTGCAACTATGCAGCAAGTCTTTTCTTACAGGAGAATCTCAGCATTGCATCTCCATCTCTGCCACAATGTAACTAAAACTGTATTGTATTCATGCTTTAAATTGAGAGAGGAAAAGGATATATTGGGAGTGACACACCAAGGCTCTACTAGATGGAAATAAGTACCCCTTAACATGCATTTGATCTTCAATTAAAGCAGATACATATTTAAATATAGAACTATTTATGCTAGAATTAGACACAGGTTAATACCATTTACATGAGAAGTAGTAGAAATTGTGTATGAATTAGAAATTATAAATTTGAATTAAATATACACTATTCATTGTTGGTAATTCAAAATGCCTAATATTATATCATTGAAACATGGCTTAATGGGAACTCCAGGAGTATTCATCAAAATAGACAAAGTCAGCTGGGAGTGGTAGTGCATGGCTCTAATCCCAGCAGATGAGAGGCAGGATTGCCTCTCAAGAGCATCCTGGGCTGCGTAGTGAGTCTCTGTCTCCAAAAAATAAGAACAAACAAATAAAAACCTAAAAACATAGTTTCAAGAACTGGTCCTGCCGTCTTTTAGGTCTTTGAAAGTTATATAACCCTTCTGACCATTAGCTTCTTCATCTATAAAAGGAAAGGGTGCTGCTGCTGTTAGAGTTAATGTAAGAGTCTGTTATAATAGTAGGGTATGCAGCTTAGGTCTGTTTCATTCACCTGTAGTCTAGTTTACTCAGCCTGAGACGAGGATCCCTTGAGCCAGGAGTTGGTGCCATGCTGAGCAACACAGAGAGACACTGTATCTCTAAAACAAACAAACAAACAAACAAAAGAAATAAAAAGAAAAGAAGCCAGGCGCTGATAGCTCACACCTGTAATCCTAGCTAATCAGGAGGATCGTGTTTTGAAGCCAGCTCAGACAAATAGTCCCCTGTCTTGAAAAAAGTTATCACAAAAAAGAGCTGGTGGAGAGGCCCAAGGTGTAGGCTCTGAGTTCAAACCCCAGAAAAGAAAAGAAACAAATAGAAAAAAGAAAATATTTAACCATATCACTATTACAGTAAGTATAATAGTAAAATTTAACACAGTGTGGAGTCCTTCTATGCCAGGCATTATTTCAAGAGCTTTGCCTTTCTTTCTAATCCTACAAAATGTTATGAGATAGATACATCTTATATCCCCTTTTCATGAATCAATCTTTTGAATATTTTTAAATCACAGGGATATCAATTGCACATGTAGTGGGTCATTTGTTAGCTCTTTAAGTCTGTATTTTTCACTGTATTTAAAATTGTATTTCTTTCCATTTCATTTTGCTTGATTATTCTATCATTTCTCCCATTTCAGTTTTTGTGGTACTGGGGATTGAACCAAGGGCCTCCCAATGCTAGGCAAGTGTTCTACTACGTGAGTATGCAGCCAGCCCTTTTGTTTTTATTCTAATTTTGAGACAGGCTCTTGTAACTTTACTCAAGCTGGCTTTGAGCTTGCAGTCCTCTTGCCTCCACCCTCTGAGTAGCTGGGATTTCAGGTGTGTGCCACCACATTCTGCTCAGTACTGGTGATTGAACCTGGGTTCTTACTGTTGATAATGAAGTGCTCTACCTCTTAAGTCAGGCCTCCAGCCATTCTGTTCTCTCTTTTGCACTATTTTTCTGTAGGTAGTGTTTAGTGATACTTTCCATATGGATATCATATTTGTGATTTTCAAAATTCATCACTTTTCTTGACCTCTATTAATTAAGGTTTATCCAATTTGTTGCTTTTCCATGTCTTCCTGAGTATGCACTTAGTTTTGGTTTGTGCTTAAATTTCAGACAGATACTTACTTGGAAAGGCTTTGAAAATTTTAGGTCTACTTCTAGTGTCAACTTATATCTATACCATGTTGCTTTATTGAATATTCTTAATATGTTATTTATTGCTTTTGTTCATTCCTTTCCTCCTTTTCTCTTTAGTTTCTCTGTGTTACTGCAACATGAAATATTTTTGGATCATTTTCGCATTATTGAAATGGTGTGTTCTTTCTTGACCAAAAATCTGCATAATGGTTGTTTGGAGAAGAGACCAGGTCATGTTTTAAGTCAGCATGAATGATCCATGATTAGCAGAAATATTCCTCACAAACTCCCTTAATCTTGAGGCAGGCATTATAAATTCCAATGTGCATTTTAACAAGATTCCTAGGTAACTTGATGCACTTTAATATTTGAGAAGTATTGCTGAATAACACAGAGTAATATTTATGCTAAAGGTTAGTTTTTTTTTTCTCTACTCTACCTTGGCATGGATAATTTAAGCTTATGTTGTATGGTATAATCTTACTGACAGATTACTTCATAAAACTATCATAGATCCATGTGATCCTTTGGTCATCCATGCATACCTGCTTCTTTCTTGAGTCAAAACAGGTGCAGGTTAATTGTTATCAGCAGTCTTCCCATCCAGTTCTCATTGCTGAAACAAGAGGACTATGCTTGTGTTCTCTGGGTTGTTCCACTGTAATGATTCTCAAATTTCAGTGTGCATCAGAATGTAGTAGTAGAAAAATTCTACCTCCATACTCACAAGGTCCTGTCCAGGTCTGAGAATTGAATTGATGCATGATAGTTAAGGAAAGCCATTATAAAGAAATGAAGAATGAAGAAACACAGTTACCTATATACTGAGTTGCACAACCGTTTTAAAGAAATGTGCAGAAGCTTAAAACGAGTTATTTTATGAACTTCTCTTTGTCTCAGTTTCTCACTCTTGAGGATAAGGATGCTGCATCTTTACATGGGAACGTCATCTCCTGCTTCTAAGAGTCAGAATGAAGTTACTCCTCTGACCTCAGGTGCCTTTAATTTATATAGCAAATA